TATATATACAGTATATGTATATTGAAAAGAAATTTACCTTGCTTGTCATTAGTTGGAACTAGTTCACATAGAGGGCGCTTTGCAACCCCATTATAATTCTTTAACAGTTTGCTTGGTAAAGTACAAATGATATCATTGATGTCTGACTCAGTCAACGGTATAGAATCTAAGATAAGTCCCATTAGCTCCAAATCGTGTTCTCCCGCAAACAGAATCCTTCCAGTCAACATCTCGGCTAAGACGCATCCCGCTGCCCACATATCAATCGCTTTACAGTACTCTTGTGGATGCAGCATCAACTCAGGTGATCGATAGCACCGCGTTGTTATGTTATCTGTCAGGTGACCCTGGAAAAGTACATAAACTGTATAGAATAATGAAAAATATAACTGTTGTGTTAAAATAAAATATATTTTGCAACAGTCAATCTACTTTAGTTTGAGATTTGAAATGCACTGCCATGTCGATGTGCCATGGATCATGGATGGATAGTGGTACATAAAAAGAGTTCCTTATTCAGATTTTATTTTTTAAATTAGCAAATTGTTTTAAGTATTATAAAGGAGAATGCATAATGTTCAAGTTGGTTTGTCTTTATTTTAAATTAAAGCTAAATTGTTAGATGAAAAGAAAATGTTCATGTACAGTATTTATTTTAAACAGAAAACTTAATGTATATGTTCATAAATTTGGAATGTTATGTAGAATAAAATCATCTCATACCTTATGACAATAATGGGGATCTATAATTCGTGCAAGGCCAAAGTCTCCAATCTTTAACGTTAAATCTTCAAGGTTAATGAGAAGGTTACTTGGTTTTAGATCACGATGTACAACGTTTGCACTATGTAAGTACTTAAGTCCGCGAAGAAGTTGATATGTGAATAGCTTGACATGCTCTGGCTGCATACATTCGCTATTAATAACTTGTTTCATGTCGACATCGCAGAGTTCCTGAACTATATAGACCTGTTCCCGAAGTTTCATATCGGTGTCTTCTGATGTCGGTAAGAAGACATCAAATATCCTGACGATGTTATCATGCTCGAGTTGGCGTAAAATGCGTACTTCTCTGACCGCCGATTTCCAATCTTTCATGTTGTTCAGCAGGACTTTCTTGATAGCAACACTCTTGTCACATTCGGTGTCAAGAGCGGAGACTGTAAGACCGGTGGAGCCACTGCCAAGAAGTTTGAGACTGCAGAACCGTGAACTTACATGAAAACTTTCATCAAAACACGAAGTCCTTTCTAGTTCCGCCATATCGGACAAATCTACAGTATAGGAAGGTCAGAACCAAGATGAGCAATGGTTTCAATATGGAGATCATTTAACAATAAATTAAATAAAAGGTTTACCATGCATACTATTCACTACCACTAGAATTACTTGTATCAACAGTCATATGAAGTTCAGCAAGATTGCGGTACAATACATCCTCTCAGTAAATGCACTGTTCATGAATTTCAAAGAAACAGAAATAAACAATGAAAAAAACAATTTGTTTATGGTAGTTAAGGTGATGCCATTCAATACACTCCATGATATAAATTGATGTTCTCTCTGATATTGTGTTTGAAGAAAAAATACTTTGCTGTAGTTTGAAAAAAACTGATTTTCTTGTTTTTGAAAAATGTTTTCAGTAGTAGTCCTTTAGTAGTAATTTCCAAAATTTACCGCATTCATTTTGAAAAAAAGCACCATGCCCCTGCCCTCTCTTTATTTCAAAAATTTAGTCTTGAAAAGAAGGCCGTCTCAAAAAGAGAATTTGAGTCAACTCGGATTCAAGTCCACATGGGGCCGAGTTGACTTAGGCCAACAAGTTGACTGGGGCTGAGTTGACTTCCTCAAAATAAAGCCTCTAGCAAAGAAGCCCATCAAAAAAGGTCTTTAGAAAAAGAAGCCCAGGGCTTCTATTCAAGGTTTATGGTACAGTATACTGTATATTACTTTGCAACCAGGCACCATGTGCAAAATGTCAAGAAATTGTGTTTAGCCTAGTTTAGGCCTAGATGAAACACTCAGTTTCGCAACCGAAAGTCCAAAGCCAAACATAGGATTTTGGGTTTCGAACTTCCAAAAACCCAGGCAATTCCAATATACAAATCAGGTTTCTTGAAGTTACAACTATAGTTAAATTTTGTCCAAGCAAAACAGTTTTAACTTATTATATTTTGTAGGATAAAATAAATGTAAAACACTTCTTAACCAAAAATTATGCTATTAAAACTACTCCATGAATTTAAACAATCAATCTTAATAATAATGTACTAAATTTGAAAATTAAAATGGTATTGTGTTCCTCCAGGGAGTTATTATAGTGACAACACTATAACAACTCCCTGGTTCTTCTAAGTAGAAGCAGGGAGTTGTTATAGTGACTATAACAACTCCCTGGTAGAAGTATAAACCATAATTGGTATAAACAAACAATACACTTTTATTTATATTTTATTTATACTCTTTATTTCAACAACTCGATTTTATTATTACAGATGATTTCCCTGTACAGCACCCCCTAACGGTTAGGGGGTTAGGCTAACCCACGGCCAACGTTGCACTATGATATCCAATTCACGCATTGCTTACACTACTCGGCGTTCCATAAAATAACCCTTATTTGGGCATTGAATATCTCAAGGTATGCGGCCAAACCGGACGTTATTCCCCCTAGGCCTATGCCCTGAACTTTGCAGTTTCTCTCTTTGGATATCAAAATGTCAACATGCCCATATGGACACATGCATGTTCTCTACTAGGCTAGCCTAGCCTATATCTATCCAGGCCAACAAAGCTAAACTAACTAAAACGAGGCCTTATTGGCCTTGCCTTGCAAGCCGAACTGTTCTGTACTCCCTTGTCCTTTCTTTTGGTCCTAACTAAACTAGCCGAATACATGTCAAACCGTACCCATGTCAACCCGAACCCGTTTAGCCTTAGGCCACTGCTGCCTACCCAGGCAGCAGTGGCCTAAACTAGGCCTAGGCCCTAGTACTAGTGCTAGGCCGATTCCCTAGCTAGGTAGCCTAGGCCTAGCCACAGGCTCATGAGCTTAAAGTTAATGTTAATTGTAAAACCAGAAAGTAGGTAAAACTTACTGCTAATTCGAAAATAAAGAAATGTATGTTACTCACTGACAAAATTATAATAGGTGAAAACTAATTAATTTCACATTGTACGCTTACGCCGAGATGTCTATTGAGCATGCGCAGGGCACTGCTTATGTTGCGTCGACGGGACATGGAACATTACATTATGAAGACCGGGTAAAGGCCCCGACGGGGGAGCTAGGCGAGCGAAGCGAGCCTCACAGTGGCTGGGGGGGGGGGGGGGGGGGGGGGGGAGAACCTACTCTCTAAATGCAACAAAAGTTAAAAAAATAGTGAAAGAGTGCCTACATGGACCACCCGTGATGGAGTGAAATAAAAAGAGTGAGATTTCACACTCTATTCAGAGTGAATTTTAGTGTAATTTTTCACTATTTAAGAATAATAGGGCCTTTCACTCATTTAAGAGCGAATTTCCACTCGAGAAAGAGTGAAATTGGAGTGGTTCCTGTAGGCACTCTTTTCGAGTGAAAATTCATTCTAGCTTTGACATTAAGAGTAGGGGCCACCAGTGGGGGTCCAGCGGCTAATCCCCCTGGAAAGCTACGGATGTTTGACGAATTTTGGTGAATTTTTATTAGTTATTTGATAGGCATATTCCTTCATGAGGCCTGTTTTTTAATGTCGAAGTTAACTTCCAAAGCCGATTAAAACAAAAATAATAAAACAACGAGAGATAAAGAGTACGGTATGCAATGTAACCAACTAAATTAATTTAAAATCCGTTTTTCATTTTTTATTATTAAATAAACCGTATTACATTACAATACTATCCTCCCATCATGGCAAAACCAAGGTTTTTCATAATCCATGTTATTGTGAATTATTAACAACAAAATTACGAATAAGATAAATTAATGTCTTACTGTAAATTGTAAGGGCACCAATTTTTGACATTATACTACGATAAATTAAGAACACACAATGTCACGGGAACGTCACAATACAAGCTTATATATTCAAAGTGATGTTCGGATTTTTGGAAATTTTGCCTGAAATCTGTAAATCACGAGGTCGCTTCCCCGATCAAGATATATTCCAAGCATCATGAGAATATCCAAAGGAGCATTTGTCATAATAGGACAAACCATTTTTAGTATAGTCTCATTATTATTATTATTATTATTATTATTATTATTATTATTATTATTATTATTATTATTATTATTATTATTATTATCATCATCATCATCATCATCATCATCAACAACATCATCGTCATCAGTTCTGCAATCAATCAATCAATCAATCATGAATCTATCATTCATCAATCAATCAAAATCAACCGATCAATCATCAATCAATATAAATCAATAAACATGATTCGACACAGAACAAACATTTAAACATGGTATGGTTATTGGAATTAAATAACGGGCTCTGTTAGTCTGGTACAAAAACAGCTCAAGCAAGTTGTTGATACGGATGAGGAACTACATAAACCATCATAATTTCATTTCATTTCATTTATTTATTCGACCAATACACATTTACAAAAGGTACAGTACAACAAAAATCATGGTCAGGGGCAGCTTAAGCAAAATTTTACTATAACTCATTAAAAGAGTCAGCTGCCCCATTAATTGATAATTGAGTACTAGAGTAGAGGAAGAGGAATTCACCAACAATTAAAAAAGCAAAATAAGGTGATTTCTAACTACTTTTTTTTTTTTTTATCAATTTTTTTTTTTTTTTTTTTTTTTTTTTTTTTTTTTTTGTAGGCCTACAAGGGTAATTTGTTTATGCAGTACCTAGTTGACGTGATTTGACGCAAGTTGACATCGATCGCTTTGAAGAGAAGTCGGAAATCGCGAATTGATTTGTTTTGAAAATGGAGCGAAGCGAAATGAGTCAGCCGCCAAGCGTGCGAAAATCAAGTGTGTAGGTCTAGTGTTACGTTCATATTTTCTGTTGGGTTGTTTTCTACCATGACGGATGTTTTCAGAAACACACTGAATCATACACAGTTATCAATATTCAATTAAACTTTATTCAATCGCACGCGTATATTATCAAGACGTCGTACAAAAAAGAATATCCGCACTCATGTCACCAAGTACATGTGACCTTATCAAAGTTAAAACGTCCATCCCGTGCATAATAACAAAAGAGGGCGCTATATAGAATATCAGAAATGTGCATGGTTATGATGAGAACACATATCCAACACCTAGCCTCGGGCTAGGGAATATTCGGGCTAGGCAGGCACCCTGCTATATCGCGGATGTTGGTGTTGTTAATGAAACTGTGCAGGATGTTCAAACGTAATACGTGTATTTTTACCGAAGTCCTATGGTATGTGTATCCTGTACCCCTTAAACATAAGTTTTAGTTAGGCAAAGCCTCCTCCTATCTAGCCTAGGCTAGGACCTAGCCTAGGCCTAGTACTACTAGTAGTACTACTAGCCTAGCTAGCTAGGCCTAGGCCTAGTAGTACTAGGCCTACTGTTGTAACCTACATACAGAGCCTAGCTAGCTAGCCTGGCCTAGCATGCTAGACCTAGTCCCAGGGCCTCTTGTAGGCCCTGGCCCTTCCTTATGCCTAGGCTGGCCAAGGGGCCCTGCTAAATAGCACACGGACTACACGGGACCACGCTCCACCACGCGGGAACCACACGGATGCAAAAATGCTAAAAATATTACCATACGAAAGTAGAAAACTGCGTAATAATCAATAGATAGAAACCAACTTTTAGAATGATAATTGTCCAAATTTCATTAAAGATCGATGTATGTTTTTTTTGTTTTTTTGGTTTTACGTATCGTGTCTCGGTAAGTAATGCGTTGACATTGTGCATTGACGTGTCAGCAGAAATGCTTTCAACCATGACCTTCATGTCTTCGTTTCATAGCATCACTCAAAATATATGTAGACTACCACATGAACGGTAATGAACTTATTCTACATAAAAAAAAATTGAGTATTTAAATTGTAGTATATTTAATTGTTAAATTAAATGTATTGTTGGATACATTTATTCTATTTTTATATTTTCTGTCAATGCTCATACATGCTTTTTAAAAATTATTTCAGTGTACATCAATGGAATAAAGAAGATGAATTTGAAATATATTAGAAGTGAATAAATACAGAATTGGCGAAGTAAAGAATAAGTTTCCACATTGGGCCACAAGTAGGACAATTATAAAAATTTATTTAAAAAAAAACCATTTTTATTTTTCATCAAATATATACTCACTTTATTGTCATTATTAGGTTACTATGTCCTGAGCTAATAATATGTTGGCCTAAATTTTACCATGTGCAGTTTATAAGTAACCCCTGCTAATTAGCATCTGCATCAGCTATGTGTACGGCTTTAAAACCATTTGTTATTTCATCAAAAAAAATATGCCCTTATTGCTTATGCTAATTACTGTGTCAAGTATGCAAGAGATCAGTTTAAAGAATGTTAATAGCAGGGAGACTGAGATATTCGTGTAGAAATAAATGTATTTATATCACTAATTTTAACCTTTGTTATTTTTCTAAAATAATGTGTTCTTCATTCACAACCATCTTTCAATTGTAACCGTGCTGTGGATGATATGAATCTGGCACTGTTCAGTTCTTCAGAGTGTTGGCCAGAGTTTGGCCAGTACCTATATAATTAGACAAGGTACAAAATGGACATGATACATAATAAGAATAAGTTGATTTAGGAACTCTGTAGTGTTATTTTATTGAACTAAGATCGATGAATATTGCATTACAAAATACATGTTTTAACATATTGGTCTATACTGTTACTGTCCTGGCACGTTTAACTCTCCAATGTTGTCCAGGTCATTTTTCTTGCATGGTTGTGCAGCATTCGTGAAATCACTAAAGACCTAATATCTTTATCATCAGTACGCTTATCATTGCTTCATGGTGTTGCAGTTGCTGATTTTTAGGCATATTTTTAGTGAGACTAATCGCAAGTGACAGAAAACAAGAGTTGACGTCTTTTGGGAAATGAAAAATATATTTATTTCTTTTCGAAAATTTAATCGTGCATGCCACCTTCTTTATTGTGACATCTTGCACAGTTTGACATTAATTGGCATAAACGCATATTGGCATAAACGCATAGGGCGTATCTTGATAAAATAACAGTAATGATTTATGTAGTACAGGGCTGATGTATATGTCAATAAATAAATACCGTACTCTACCGTTAGACCTACAGTGGTTCATGAAGCAATAACAAATTTATCTACATCCAATGATAATAAAATGAGTGGTCCCGGAGTGAGTAGATATTTGATGAAATGTATTATAAATAAAAATGTATTATAAATAGATATATTTTTGAATCTTGAATCTATTTGTTTATATTTTACTCATATCATAATGGAATCTAATTCTAGACTTCGGATAAATTGTTCCTCCTGATCTATTTTTTTTTTGCTGGATTAGTACTTTAAAGATACTCAATGTCAACGCATTACCTTGTGAAGCACGGCGTGCAAAAACCTAAAAAAAATAGACAATTTTTACCATAATTCGGACAACTATCACTATAAAAGTTGTTTTTTATTTATTATCAAGCCGTTTTCTACTCTCGTGTGGTAATATTTTAATCATTTTCGCATTTGTGTGTTCCCGTGTAGGAAAGTAGGTAATAATAAAGCTTACACTTAGGCTGGCCTAGCTAGCTTATGTTCAACCTCTGCTTCAACCTGGGCTAGGAGATCCAACATCTACACCATACGGAAAAGTTTTACGATTGCGCAGATAAAAACCATGGCTCAGATTTGCGTGAAAAATCGCTAGGAAAATTGATGCGCAGATTCGTAATACTGATTGTAGACTAATCTGTCCACACATTTCGGAACATAAGAGCCGATTTCCACGCAGATTTTTGCTAAAAATTAGCCTTTGACCTAACCTTAACATATAAACAATGTATGCAGTAATTACAATTCTGCACACTTATTGTATTCTAGCGATTTTCCCCTCGAAATGGTGATAAATCTATGTTTTTCTTTCTGAATTCATTCTGTCTTTCGAAATGTCAGTAAAGTCGGGCAGCACGTTTATTGAGTTGAGTTTGAGAGTACTTGCAATTGTATTTAATATCAACTTTAACAACATGATCTGAGAGTTTAAAAAATCAGCTCGGTCAGAAGGCCCTTGGGTGTCAATGCACTCCAAAGTTATCTTTATCTCACTCAGTATGCGGGGTGCAGCACTTCGTATCTGTAAAGAAAGGCGCTTTATAAATGACTGGATTAGATTGGATAATGTTCTGCAAAATTATTACGTGGACAGAGTACTGTACCTGGCTCTATTTTGTGAGGGTTTTTTGCACAGACACACAGTTATTTGCATTGTTTTGTTTCTTCGAAATGGTTAATGATATTCTAGCGAATGTTAAGCCCATAATAAAGTGTCTTTGAAACAACTTTACTAATACTTGTTTAATGACATTTATATAGGGGAAGTATGATTTTGGAACAGTGTCTACACAGGGGTCAATATTATTTTTTTATATACAAATTTTACTGATTAGTCTATAAGAAAAATATTGTGACGTTGATTCTTATAATGATTAAATATTATACTAGAAATTGCAAATTGCAAGTGAAGTGCTGCGAAGTACAACTGCACAAAATTATTTATGCGAGTCAAGTGAAAATAATGAATAATAAAAATATAACAAATAATATGAGCACGACCCATTGTCTATATATTATTAGAACAGCGTTGGTACAATAGTGTTTTGCTGCAGTGACATCTCTCTGCTGGCGATGGCTCGCTGC